CATCTCCATCTCCCCTCTTTCAGGGTCAAACCCTTCCCCCTCCTCCTAGGGCTCCCCTCCCTCATCCAGAGTCCCTCCCCATCTCTCCTGGAGCCCCTTGAGGGACTGGAAGGGGGCTCCAAGGTCTAGATATCTCAGTACCTTAGTGTCCCCAGCGATGTCCTTGCCACCCCCCTTGGTTTTAACGACCCTCTCTCTGCCCCATAGCCTGATGGTGCGCTTGCACGAGGCCCTCAAGCAGTGCCAGGACCTGAAGACTGAGAAAGGCCAGATGAACCGAAAAATCAACCAGCTCTCCGAGGAGAACGGGGACCTTTCCTTCAAGGTAGGGGTGGGGGGAGCTGGGTGTCCCTCTTCGCGGCCCCCCAGGGTTTTGTGGTGGTAGGATTTGATGGTGGTGACCGATTCTGGGCTGTTTTTAGCTCCTCCTGTGAGGTGGAATCTGTTTTGGGCTCCAGATCCTGATCCCAAGGGGATCCATGGTGGGGGAGATAGGAGTTGGGGGGGAAATAGGTGCAGAGAATGAGCCCCCAGGACCTGGAATATCCATGGTTCATGGAATCATGGAATTGTTTGAGTTGGAAGGGACCTTCTAGAGACCATCCAGTCCAACCCCCCTGCCAGAGCAGGGTTGCCCAGAGCACATCACTCAGGAGCATCCAGGTGGGGCTTGAAGATCTCCAGAGAAGGGGACTCCACACCCTCCCTGGGCAGCCTGTCCCAGGGCTCTGCCACCCTCACCCCAAACAAGTTCTTCCTCACATTGGAGTGGAACTTCCCATGGTCCAGCTTGTGCCCGTTGCCCCTCGTCCTGTCACTGGGAACCACTGAGAAGAGTCCGGCTCCATCCTCCTTCAACCCTCCCTTGAGATCCTTGTCAGCATTGAGAAGGTCTCCCCTCAGCCTTCTCTTCTCCAGACTAAAGAGTCCCAGCTCTCTCAGTCTCTCCTCATCAGGGAGATGCTCCAATCCTTGAATCATCTCTGTTGCCCTTCGCTGGACTCTCTCCAGCAGTTCCCTGTCCCTCTTGAACTGGGGAGCCCAGAACTGGACACAGGATTCCAGTTGTGGCCTCACCAGTGCAGAGCAGAGGGGGAGAATGACCTCCCTCCACCTACTGGCCACACTCTTGGCCACAAGGGCTCATTGCTGGCTCATGGATGGTTCACTCTCCACCAGGACCCCCAGATCCTTCTCCTCAGAAGTGCTTTCCAGCAGGTCCACCCCTAACCTCTATTGGTGCTTGGGGTTCTTCCTCCCCAGGAGCAGGACCCTACACTTGCCCTTGTTGAACCTCATGAGGTTCTTCTCTGCCCAGCTCTCCAGCCTGTCCAGGTCACACTGGATGGTGTGTGACCTCTGGAGTGTCAGCCAGTCCTCCCAGTTTGGTATCACCAGTGAACTTGCTGAGGATACACTCTGTCCCCTCCTCCAGGTCATTGATAAATATGTTGGAAAGTCATGGGTTTGATGGATGGACCACTGGGTGGATAAGGAGCTGGCTGGATGGCTGCACTCAAGGGGTTGTGGTCAACGGCTCAATGTCCAATTGAAGGCCAGTGATGAGTGGTGTTCTTCAGGGGTCCATACTGGGACCAGTGCTGTTCAGCATCTTTGTTGGAGACATGGACAGTGGGATGGAGGGCACCCTCAGCAAACTTGCCGATGACATCAAGCTCGGTGGCATGGTTGACACACTGGAGGGAAGGGATGGCATCTAGAGGGACCTGGACAGGGTGGAGAGGTGGGCTCTTCTTCATGAACCGCATGAAGTTCAACCAAGCCAAGTGAAGGGTCCTGCACCTGGGACGTGGCAACCCCAGGCACAAATCCAGGTTGGGTGGAGAATGGCTGGAGAGCAGCCCTGAGGAGAAGGACTTGGGGGTGTTGGTGGATGAGAAGCTCAACATGAGCCATCAACGTGTGCTGGCAGCCCAAAAAGCCAACCCCATCCTGGGCTGCATCAGGAGAAGTGTGGCCAGTAGGGTGAGGGTGGTGATTCTACCCCCCTGCTCTGCTCTGGTGAGACCCCACCTGGAGCTCTGTGTCCAGCTCTGGAGTCCTCAGCACAGGAAGGACATGGACCTGTTGGAACTGGTCCAGTGGTGGCCATGGAGATGATCAGAGGGATGGAGCACCTCTGCTGTGAGGACAGGCTGAGAGAGCTGGGGGTGTTCAGCCTGGAGAAGAGAAGGCTCCGGGGAGACCTCAGAGGAGCCTTCCAATATCTGAAGGGAGCTCCAGGAGACCTGGGGAGGGGTGGTTGAGGCCCCATCCCTGGAGGTGTTCAGAAGCCGGGTTGATGTGGTGCTGGGAGGTCTGGTTTAGTGATGGTGGTGCTTTTTCTTTGTTGTGTGGGTGTTTATTTTTGTGGAAATTAGGTTGACGGTTGGACAAGATGATCTTGAAGGTCCCTTCCAACCTAGAAGATTCTGTGACTTTGTCAGGAAGTGCAGTGACAGGACAAGGGGCAATGGTTTTAAGTTGGAAGAGGGGAGATTTAGGTTGGATCTCAGGAAGAACTTGTTTGGTGGGAGGGTGGTGAGAGCCTGGCCCAGGTTGCCCCAAGAAGCTGTGGCTGCCCCATCCCTGGAGGGGTTCAAGGGCAGGTTGGAGGGAGCTTGGAGCAACCTGGTCTGGTGGGAGGTGTCCCTGCCCAGGGCAGGGGGTTGGAACTGGATGATCTTTGAGGTCCCTTCCAACTCTCACCATTCTGTGGTTCTATGTTAAAACTGGACCGAGTATTGACTCCTGGAGGCCACCACTGGTGACAGGTCTCCAACTCGCCCCTGCTCCATGAATTACAGCCCTCTGGGTGCTGTCCCACAGCCTGCCCTCACTCCTCCTCCCTGCCCCCTCATCAGGGTGGAGAGAAGCAGGGGTTGGTCTCTTCTCCCAAGTCACAGGTGACAGGACCAGAGGAAACGACCTCAAGTTGCCCCAGGGGAGGTTCAGGTTGGAGATTAGGGACAATTTTTCCATGGAAAGGGTTGTGAAGCCTTGGAATGGGCTGCTCAGGGAAGGGGGTTGAGACACCATCCCTGGAGGTCTTCAAAAGACGAGTTGACATGGTCCTGGGGGACGTGGGGTTTATTTTTTTGGGGTCAGAGTTGAGTTGATGGTTGGCCTAGATGACCTTGAAGGTTCCATCCAGCCTAGATGACTCCATCTGGCCCATGCTTCCTCAGTTTCACAGAATCACAGAATCTTCTAGGTTGGAAGGGACCTTCAAGATCATCTTGTTCAACCATCAACCTAATTTTGACAAAAATAGACACCCACAAAAATAGACACCCTGATGAGGACGTTATGGGAGATGGTTTCCCAGCGGATGCTGGGGAGAAGAGGGAGTTGAGCAAGATCCCTTGGGCATGGTGGGGTTCTGATGGAGGGGGGGGATGATTATTTTTCTCCCCCCCCTTCCTTGGGCAGCTGCGGGAGATCGCCAGCCACTTGGTCCAGCTGCAGGAGGCCCTCAACGAGCTTTCTGAGGAGCACAACTCTGCCCTGGCCCAGTCGCAGGAGAAACAGGGACAACTGGAGAGCGAGCTGCGCGCTGCCCTGCAGGACAAGGTGAGGGGTTT